AAGTTGCCACTTAATATATAGAGATATAAATATTTCCACATGCAAAATTTCAGCTGGAGCAAACAGTGGGTCACAGACGTTACTTATTGAACGCCCCTCGAATATACAAAAAAAAGCAAAAACAGACTCCTAACAAAGGGCAACTCAGCCATCATTTATTAGCAGATTCTACACATGAACAAAATACCACAGACAAATGATTCCACATGCAGATACACTCACGGCTGCACACTAAAATATCCCAGCAGCTGTTAGAAACAATGAGGGTAGAGGACAGCGTCACATCAGACAAAGATGGAGGCAGGTCTCGGTAAAAGCAGGTGTGCTTAACGAGGCTGTGATCATCAGCCCCGCTGTGAATGCTTCAGACACAAAAACAATAAAAACAAACAGCTTTACTGACTCATGATTCTGCTTTTCTCATCCAGGTTATGGTTTCAGCACTAAATATTAAAGAGACAAGCTGTATAGGAGTAGCAGGCTGTTGCTGAGTCATTGAGTCCTTTAGAAAGAGAAATGCCATGTCATCATTATCATCCAAAAGACACATTTTAATCAGACTCCTTTTACATAAGTTAAGATATAAAAACAAATACATTCCATCAGTCTGAGCTGGGAGTTTCCATGGTAACCGGTTCACCCGCTCTCACCTTTCAGTGAAACATCCAGTCGCTCCCATATTTCGCTTGAACAGACAGAAAACCAAACAACTAAAAAAATTCAGTCTTTCAGAGAGAATTGCTAAAAAGATGCGAGAATAGTAAAAAAAAAAAAGAAAGAAAAACTTTTACCAAGTTAAAATAAGGCTGAGGTGAAAAAAAGACGCGTGTGATCAGACCGGCAGCACGTTGAATGGGAGGACATCTTCAAAACGACTTTTGTAGGTATTAAGGCAGAGAGTTTGTTGCTATGAGGTGGAAAGCTGAGAAGGTCTGCAGAAAAATAAACCTTCAGGTTCGTTTCACACCAAACAACCAAAGCATCACTTCTCCTCCCGTTGCCACAGCGACCAAATATCAGCAACTCTTTGATCCCGCTCATCCTTCTCAGCTGGAAATTGACATTTTATGGCCTTTTAGTTCCTGTTTAAGTGGCAGCTTTATGCTTAGATGAACAAATGGAAAACATTTTTAGAAAAGTAGAGCATTTTAAAAGTAAGACACTAGAAATAAAGACTCTGTATAAAAAAATCATCCGCTGAGCCAGAAGTGATGAACGATCTGAGGAGGATTTGCTTTTTTTTTCTAGAAAATCTTTCTTCTCATTAGCTAAAACTCCTAAGCACCGATAGGACTGGAATCTACACGGTGAATGTTGCCTTCCTGACTTTTGTGTGTCGCAGGACGTTCATGGTCTGAGCTGAGTCATATGGCTGCAGGTTTCTGTAAACTGGTTCTGCACCAGTAATCTAACATCTAATCTGAATTCATGGCTTTCTTTCCGTTTGTGCAGTAAATATTCGGCCAGTCTTGTGCTTTCAGGGCTGCTTGTTGCTCGGAAACACCAGTTACTAACCAGCGTCTAAATGTGAAACCAGTTCAAGTTGGTCTACATATTAAAAATGTATAAATATGTCCAACAGCAATGAAAATGTAGACATGTACCGCAAATACAGGAGGAAAAGAAAAGAGGCTCCTCTCAGGACAATGATTTGGACGGACGTTCTGCTTGTTGGTGGATCAGAGAGCCGGCAGCTGGGATGGTCGTCTCCTTTGGCTCTAAGTAGTTTGGCACCGTTTCCTTAAAGGTAAACCTGAAGCGGGTCCCTCAGGGAGCCGTATGGCTTCATCCACTTCAAATAAAGTTTGAGGCCGATGCATCTCTGGCAGGAAGAGGACGGCGTAGCGTGCACAACATCTAAGATGGAAACCTACGACAGACTCTGACAGGAACACCTCATTTATACTCTAAAACCCCAACGAATGGAAAAGCAGCAGAAGCTTTACTGATGAACGAATGAAAAGGGAAGCCATGCGTCAACGACTCCTCTCTGACACTACCATCCGGCTCTGGCGTGGAAGACGGGTCGGGAGCGTGGCTGCGGCGGGCTGGGGTTGTCCGACGAGGGACTGGTGCAGTTGTCGTGATTGCCGTTGCCTCGCACCGTGAGCCTTTTACCCTTCTCTTCCTTCATGAAATGCTCCAACATGAGGAGCTTTTCCTTGTGGATCTGAAGGCTGATGTCTTTGGGGATGTCTGGGATAAGCCAGTCTACGAAATCACTCATGAGCATCACCACGTTCTGCAGGGACAGAGAGAGCAGAGAGCCTGGGTCAGAGCGGAGAACGTCTCTGGCTGCAGAACCAGCCACACACAGGAAAAAATCTAAATCTAGATAAGTATTTTTTTCTTAAAATAAGTGCATTTGTTCTTGGATTTAGGAGGCAAAGGAGCCATTTTGCCAATGGAACAAGACAATTTACACTTAAAATAAGAAAAGACAATTGAAATGTCTTCTTTCAAGTACATATTATCTAATTATCTTATTTTAAAAGTAAAAATATTCATTCAGTTGGCAAAATATCTCATTTACCTCCTCAAATTAAGGTTAAATACACTTAATTTAAGACATTTTTACTTATTTCTACATCATTTTTCAAGTGAAGCAAACCCTTACACTGCAAAAATTATCTAAAAATAAGTCAAAATGTCTTAAATTAACAGTATTTCCCCTTAATTTGAGAAGGTAAATGAGATAGTTTGCCAATGGAATGAGGATTTTTACTCTTAAAGTAAGATAATTCGATAATATGCACTTGAAATAAGACAATGCAGTTGTTTTTTCTTATTATAAGAGGAAATTGTCTTGTTCTATTGGCAACGTGTCTCACTTACCTCCTCAATTCAAGAGAAAATGCACTTATTGCGAGAAAAAGTTACTTATTCAGATTTCAATTTTTTGCAGTCTAGAGAAGTTCTCACAGAGGAAATCAGTTGGTTTATTAGCGGCTGACAAAGGCAGACAAGTGACTACAGTCTGATACTTTAAAATAATATGTTTATTTGTAGTGTTTCAGCAAACAGTGTCGATGGTATTAGACAAAACAGAAAAAATACAAAACCTACATGACAGCTCTTACATGGCAGATGATGTAAAAAAATGTCTTAAATTAAGTGTATTTATCCTTAATTTCAGTAGGTAAATGAGATGATCTGCCAATGGAATGAGTATTTTACTCTTAAAATAAGATAATTAGATAAAATGCAATTGAAATAAGACAATGCATTTGTGTTTTTTCTTATTTTAAATGTAAATTTTCTTGTTCCAAGGCAAAAATGTCTCTTATCTCCTCAATTTAAGAACAAATGCTCTTATTTAGGAATAAAAAAAAATGTGGATGACAAAATGAGCTCAGAGATTCTGATTGACATTTAACAGCGGAACACCTCCGCCCACATTGGTGACGACGCAACAAACTGCTGGCTGAGCAGCAGCACAGACCAGCCTTCTTACAGTCTCTGGCAGCATGGCTGGACCATGAAACGTCCTTTTTAGGTTTCCATGATCCAACTAGGCGACTTCAACTCCCCGCACTGGAGGGGCGCGATTAGGAGGCGTGGACGCTCTGCTCTGAACCTTAGTGGCATTATATGATTGGATCTTTGTGCTAGTCAGTAATGATCCCCGTGTTGAAGCATGAGGATGGCGCCAGGACACCGTGGGTCAGTGGTCAAAGATGGACGATCATCATGGCCTTTAAGGAGCAGCGGAAGGGGCCCAGCTGACTTCTCTTTTTTTTTTTAAATCAGATGATTCATAGACGGATCGCTGATGCGCGGTCTACGTTTCTACCCTCACCTACGGTTATTATTCTGGATCAGAACCCAAAGAACCAGATCCTGGATCCAGGGAGGCGGGGCTCTCCCTTAAAGGAATAGTACACCCAAAACATGATTAGCCTTCATTTTCTACACACCCCCATGCTGAACAACACTCTGG